GACTTTTGTTGTGATTTGGCGCTATATAAATAAAATTGAATTGAATTGAATTGAATACTTTAAGGACTGAAGGTCTGTCAGTCCGGAAAATTGCTAAAACTTTGAATGTGTCCCCAGGTGCAGTCGCAAAAACCATCAAGCACTATGACGAAACTGGACCGCCCCAGGAAAGGAAGACCAAGTGACCAAGAGGATAAATTCATCCGTGTCACCAGCCTCAGAAATCTCAAGTTAACACCACCTCAGATTAGAGCCCAGATAGAGCTCCAGTAGCAGACACATCTCTACACCAACTGTTCAGTGGAGACTTTATGGTCAAATAGTTGCTAAGAAACCATGACTAAGGAAAAGCAACAAGCAGAAGAGATGTGTTTGGACCAAGAAACACAAGGAATGGACATTAGACCAGTGGACATTTGTGCTTTGGTCTGATGAGTCCAAAATTCAAATCTTTGGTTCCAGCCGCCGTGAGATGCAGAAAAGGTGAACAGATGGTCTCTACATACACGGTTCCTACCGTGAACTACTGGTGACACCGTTGATGATTTAAATGGACCACAGAGCGAAGGCAAAAAGGCCAACAAGTGCTCACCATGCCTTGGAACTCCTTCAAGATTGTTGGAAAATCTTTCAGTTGACGACCTCATGGAGCTCATTGAGAGAATGCCAAGAATGTGCAAAGCAGTAATCAAAGCAGAGGGGCAGATATTTTTAAGAATCTAACCTTTAAAACATGTTTGGAGTTATTTCAGACTTTTTTGTTTACTACATAATTCCTTATGTGCTCATTCATAGTTTTGATGCCTTCAATGAGAATCTACAACGTAAAGAGTCACGAAAATAAAGAAAAACCATCATATGAGAAGGTGTGTCCAAACTTGGGACTGGTAGTGTATGTTTGAGATCCCACATCTACTGTCTGAGTGCATGTTAAGACAGACTGCCGCTCGGACGATTGCATGCACTGTTGAGCATGGCGAGTCGGGAGCCCTTCAACTAACCCGACTGGTTGTGCAGACCTGCCTGTAGCTCCGTGTTTATGTTCATAGTGAAAGTCTTCTAGTATAGACAGGCTGGTGGACATTCCAGAAGTGCTGCTAATTAATGACTGTGTGCAATGTAAGTTTAGCTCTGGGTGCAACAGTGGCAGCTGGATCAAGAGGAGAGAACATTCATCATCATGAGAACTAGATTTCTTTGGAAGGATGAATTACTTTACTGAGGAGTGCTGTGTAAACAACATCTGAAATGAGGTAGCAGCACTTGTGTAGTGCATCCTCAACTACAACCGTTTTCACACCTTGGCTCGTGTGATTTTAGTAGAGGATCATTAGGGGGTCCTTTGTCCCTCTTGGGGGGGACACTCCCACAGGGCTTAAGGCTACGTCCACACTAGCCCAGATAAATTTGAAAACGACATTTTCGCCTGAAAACGCTCCGCGTCCACACTATTGTTTTCAGTCATTTTCACAGAGTTGTGCATCCACATCGAAACGGACGAAAACGCTTATGTTTCAGTACTGCGCATGTGTGAAGAAGATTCAACCCGCCTCATTTCTGTGTGCTGCTTATTTACTTTCCGGCTCTCCGAAACGTCACGGCAAAATGTTGAGGAAAAGCACCGAGTTTTTTAAATGGAATAACAATGAGGTGCAGCTGTTGCTGCGAGTAACACAAAAGTACAAAGTTGCAAAAGCGAGTGAGAATTAAAGAACTTGAAGAAAAGCTATCTGGAGCATGTACAGACTGATATAATATATCTTTAATAGGGCTGTCAAAATTCAGAGCAAACAAAACAAATGCTGTATAATGCCCTCCGCTATCTTTGTTTAATTGGTCACATGCCTGCATCACATGACTAAAATGTGTCATCGTTTTCAAAATGGCTCCGGGTTGGCTGTCTACACTGCGACACGAAAACGCCGTTTTCAAATGTATTTTCTTAGGAGAGCGTTTTCAAAATGTTTTCCTTGAACGACAATGGCATCTCAGTGTGGATGGGGGGCCAAAACGGAAGAAGACGATGCGTTTTCAAATGAAAACGTATTAGTGTGGACGTAGCCTAAATCTGGGACTCCCCGTCATTTGACCTTAGAACTGAATAAGCTTCTTGGATGAGACGGTAAACATCTTCAAGCAACTTAAAGAAGTCCAGACGGTTTTCTTTCTAACCTCAAGTATTTAAACTCCTTTACTCTTTTTCTTTTTAGTCCTCTTCTCTCCAGTGCACACCTCCACCTCACCAGGTTCTCTTCCACCTGCCTCCCACTCTAGACCAGTATTATGTTTAAACCTCACAGTCCACAGAAACTCCTGCCTAACCTCGTCTCTCAACCTGTCCATCACCACTGCAAACAAGTAGGGGCTCAGAGCCAATAACTAATAAAATCCCAGCTCCCAACCTAGAACCCATCTACCATTCCTGCCCCACACCTCACCACACGTCACCACCCACTCCTGACTTCCTCCACACTTTCAGTCTGTATAAGCTGTACTGCTGCTCGCTGATTGTCACCTCTCTTCTTAACCTAGCTTTCCCATCGCCTCATCAATTCTATCCCTGTGTAATTACAGCTCTGCACCTCACCCTTGTTTGTTCAAAAACTGCACCATCTTGTGGTAAATTTCGGTATTACACAAACACATTGCTTTAATTGATACTGCTTCAACAAAATACTTGTTTTAGACATGAATTCATGGTGGTTCTTCTTCACATTTTGGTGACAGTTTTATATTTGTCATAATATACTTCATAATTAGTAAAGTCTTTCTGTAAGAGAAAGACAGTGATGTGCAATGAAGACGTGTCTGTAACCTCACCAGGACTCCAGAGACTTTCAACAGTGGGTAAAGGACAAACACAAGGACAAGGAGTTCCCAGATGTTGCATTTGTGTGGTAGATGATGTCCAGCCAGGTACAGCATTAGGCTTGCCACACCAGCAGCGAGCAGGGTCTTGCCCCCCAAACCACAGGCAGGGAGCATGTGGCTTAGCATACCTTGTCCTCGATATCTGGTCAGAACATGGAAGGAAGAAGGGCAAATTTTGGCCCCATTAACACGTGTTGCTGCTATACAGAGTAATTGTTACTTTAAAAAAGCTGTCTCGGTATCTCTAACAATAATTTGGCAGCAAACATGTTTTTTGTCACTTTTAAGCTCCACCAGTTGTGGAAAGAAATATCTTTACTAAAAATCATCCTAAGAAGGGACACAGTACTCACGAACAGTAAAGTCTCAGCTTGTGGAATTAAATCAATGAACTCGGAGATACTAAGTTGTTACTGTGATTGTCACGGCCAGGGGATCAGCAGGCCGCTGACTAGTAGTTCTCTCGCTCTCTCTCTCTCTCTTGCTCTCTCTCTCGCTCTCTCGCCAGGGCGGAACTCATGGTGGGTTCACGCCCTCGACCCACGCCCCTCTGAAGAGGAAACACCTGGGCCTCATCAGCGCAGCCAGCATTTAAGCCAGGGAGTGGCTTCTACTCATCGCTGGATCGTTGTGTGTGACTCACGTCAGTGCAGCCCGGCTCTGACCAAGTTCTCTTTTTCCCTGCGCAAAACCTCTGACGTGTATTTCTTTCTGTACTTAGATCCCCTGGACCCGACCCTGCATTCCCCGAGCGGATTCCTTTGTGTGAGTGTCTGGAGAGAGTCAGAAGAAGAGCGAGTGTCTTTTCCCTCCCTGGATTTCCCCGGAGCCTTTTTCCCTGTCACTGCTTTGTATATAGCACTACCCCCCCCCGCGCACTGTTTGTAAATACACCTGGTGGAATTGTAATAAATACTGTGCCTCTGAGTCCTGCGTGTGAGTCCTCCAGCGAACCGTGACAGTGATCCAAGCCTCTTGTTTTATATATAGTGATAGTAAGCATACTGAATGGTTTTAAACTGCTTTAATCAGTTGTAACAATTGTAACTTCTGATGCTGAAAATTAAGCAAAGTCAAAAACTGCAGTTCCTTCAGTGGCCACTTGAGGCTAACAGTAATGTTATGGAGCTACTCCCATCTTTCATATACAGTTAATGTATTACAACACCTTTCCTCTCACCTTGTGTTTGAATGATATATCAGCTCCTCTGCCAGCAGACAGAGCCCATGTAGCAAAGGGCCAACAGTCAGCATGAGTACTGCTATGGCAATCCAGCCAAGCAACTTCTCAGGAGAGAATAAAAGCTTGCATCCTATAGTTACGACAGCTGTAACCGCAGCACAGAGTTTAGGTAAATCCCCACGGGGCTGAGGGATTAGAGCATCCTGTTCTCGAGGACACTGCATCTGTCAGGAAGGAAAAGATAGAGCGTACAGAAAAATAGATACTGTAGGGCCAGTTCACCCAAGCTTTTATTGAAGTCTAACTTCTGGTCTGGAATATTAAAGTTTATCATCAGGAGTAACAAATTGCATGGTTGTGGATGTTTGGAGGTTTGAACCCTTTTAACACAAATTTGTTTAACTTCTATAACTTTAAAAGACGTGAGCACCATCAGCTGTTACACAAAAGCTTGAATCTACCTACAGAAGAAGTAAACAGGTGGACTGTAGTCATTCAGCATAAACAAATTAGACCAACAGGGTGGGGTGGGGTTCATTTTTCCACAGGAACCCTCTGCAGCTGAAACCTGCTTATTGAAAAACTGGTTATGCGCAGGTTTGTTTTGCAATTTCTTCTCCTGTTAAGGCAAAACTGGTATCCTGACATCCATCACAGCACTGCACCAATCATAAAAGGCAGAAGGGAAGTGCCAAAGGGCAAAAATGATGCCGTGTGAAAATATAGATTCTCACCAAAACACTTCAGTGTTACAGGTGTTACTGAAGAGTGTTAAAGCACAATGAGGTACACTTAATATGCTCGCTAGCTGGCTGATTTGATGTAGTCCCTCTAAACAGAAGCGGCAGCCTTTTACGTTAACGTTACACGTGTCGGTAATCACTTTTCATTGCAGTGTGAACACTGAAGACAGCTGTGGTAAGTAACAGAGTGCAGTTTGTCTGTTAGTATGTTATAAAACTACAACAGAGACAAAGATGCAGATGAAGGGACTCACCTTGATGTGCCTGCTGTGATCCAGACTGGAGAGATTTCCTCTGTCTGCTCTATTTGTGCCTCTCCTCTCTCTCTGTCTCCACCCCTCATGCTATAACAGGAATTTCAGTTTTCATTTCACGTAAATATTCTCACTACCACAGTAAAAGAGAGGTAAAGAGTGGGTGGCAAAGAAAGAGAGAGAGAAAGTGAAAAAAGAGAGACGGGTAGAGAGCTAATACGCTCGAGGAAGTTCTGGCTCTGCACCAATAAAGCTTTCATTGTGTTTCCTTCGTTCAGCTGCTGGGAGGGTGAAGCAAAGACCTACCGTATACATGAGAGAGAGGGAGGGAGAGGTAACTTGAGCTTGAACTGAATGTGTCGGGATACGTCTGCTATGAGACTCAGACCGCTGCTGCCATCTGACCAAAGCTCTACATTTGTTCCACAGGCATTTATTTAGTGAACATTGACCCCTATTTAGTCCATAAAAGTCTCAAAGGTTGGAAGCATTTTATATGACTCAAATGTTGCAACAGCATTGAATTGAATTGATATACCTTTATTAGTCCCATAAGGCAAGCATGCTACACACAGTGGATGCTGTTATCACTGTTTGCTGTCACTTCCTATAAAGTACTTGTAGATGAGGACTGAAGTGCTCATCCTGCTATCTGTACCTCAAGGTTCAAGGTTCTTTATTTGTCTTTACTTTGGTTATTCCCAGTAAATTGGAACTGATTGTCTTTAATGCTCTTCGGCTTGGCGTACTCGTTGTGATACAACGTGTGGTGTTGGTGCATTTTTTAGTAGAATATGATATTTTTAATATATTGTGGGACTTTGTAAGCAGCTAACTCTACTAACTAATCTTTCTGTGATGTTTGAGCTTTGAGGAAGGAAATTCAAGTGTTTTATTTGTGTGTTAATTAGACTTGATCAGCTGGTGTCTGTGTAAGTGTATGGGTGCACTTCGCTGACTTCCTGTCTTTAGCTGGTAACTTTGCACTCTACTTTTTCACAAGAATGGCCACATCCGTCTTCAAAGGGTTTAGGGTAACAACGTTAAAAATGAAAAGGGGTTTTCACAGACCAGTGGTTGGGAATCACTTCTCTTTACAAACAGGAAGCATGTAAACGTGTATGATTTTTCATAAATTTATGATTAGCTACAGAGATGTGGAAATACTTTTGATAGTATTAGTGAATTTTGTCATACAGAATCATAAAACTGAAAGAAGAACAAAGAGTGCTGTGTAAGACGCATCGAAGAGTTTAACTGCTGCACAGTGCATGCTGGAAACTCTGCTCATATACAAATTTTTATTTAATTAAGTTTGCATTTAGGAGAGTTTCAGTTCGGATGTGGCCTAAACATAAAATACTAGACATTTTAAGCAGGAGTAATCTTTACCAGTAACAGTTTCTTAGTCGGATATGTGTGTGCAATTCATTCACACTCTCTGTCTTTAAAGCAAAATGAACTGCTTTCTGTCACAACTGATCAGCTGCTACTTAGCACAAATATCTTATGGACAATGCTGGGCATCCTCTGCATATGGCCATAAGGAAGCAGAAGAGTCTGTTTAACGACAGGTTGCTTCTCCCAAAGTCTAAGACCAACAGACTTAAAAACTCCTTTGTCCCACATGCCATCCAACAACTTAACTCCTCGCTGGAGGGTAGGGGGAGGGGAAACAGGAGGACAAAGGAGGGCAGGAACAACTAAGCTGTAGTGCTTTTTACTGTGCAATATTTTTTATAGTCGACTGTGCAATAATCACTGTGCAACAGACTCACAATAGTTGAAAAGTGCAATAGACCTGTGCGATCTACATTTCATCATAGACTATATTTCACTGGTATTCATATTTATCCCTATTATATATTCTGTATTTATATAAGTGTATATATGCTATATTTATGCTTATATTCAGTCTCTCTCGTTCCCCTTTATTTGGTATTCTACCTCTGCAACATGCAACTCCTGTCAATGCTGAATTTCCCGGAGAAACCCACCCGAGGGGTTAATAAAGTTTGTTCTAATCTAATTCACACATGCAGACATGGTCATGGCGATCTCTGAAGTTCAAACTGAGCATCAGAATGAGGAAGAAAAGTGACTTCTGATACGTTGTTGCCAGATGGGCTGGTCCAACTATTTCAGAAACTGCTGATCTGGGATTTTCTCACACAGCCATCTGTAGGGTTTCCAGAGTATGGTCTGAAAAAGAGAAACTATCCATGGAGCAGTGGTTCTCTGGGTAAAAATACTTTGCTGATACCAGAAGCAGAAGGAGAATGGTCACTCTGCTTTGAGCTGATAGGAAAAACGCAGTAACTTAGATTTCATTCAATTAAACCAAGTTGTGCAGGAAAGCATCTCTGAATGCACAGCATGTAAAGCAGCAGACGACCACAGCGTGATTCATTTTTGTTAGCTGAGAACAGGAAACTGAGGCTACAATTCAAAGAAAGTTGGACAATAAGGGATTGGAACAATGTTGTCTGGCCTGATGTGTCTTGAGTTAATTAAATAAATCCTAACTTAGCATTGCTTAAACACCACATTTGGGATGTGCTGTCAAGAAATCTGCAGCAACTGTGTGATACTATCATGCCAGGATGGAAAGTCCGTTGTGGCTTTTTACCACCGTTTGTTTTTGTCTCTCCCCTCCCCTCTCTGCTTACCTGCTGTCCTCCCTGCCTGGGTGGTAAACTCCTCTGTGGGTTCCTGCCTTTGGCAAACAACCCTGCTGACAATTAATCACCTGCAGCTCATTGTCATCATCATGGCCACTGCTAAAGGTAGTGGCTGAACTGCAGTTTTTGCTGGATCGTTGTACTTACTCTATCTGTGCCATGAAGAATTAAGGTAGTTCTAAAAGCAAAAGAAAGTTCAACTATCAAAGGGGCTGATAGCAGGGCATGGATATAGCATGTTTGGACAATGTACGTCAGAACTTTAAGTTGGCAGTAATTAAACCATTATTTTGAAAAGCCATCGCTTGAACCAGCTATGTCAGCTACTGTTAATAGGCCAATCTCCAGCCTTCCTTTTATCTCAACAATTCTTGAAAAGGTAGCTGTAAAACAGCCAGCTGATCATCTGCAGAGAAATGGTTTATTTGAAGAATTTCAGTCAGGTTTCAGAACTAATCACAGTACAGAAACATCTTTATTGAAGGTCCCAAATGATCATTCTTATGGCTTCTGCCTGTGGACTCATATCTGTGTTTGTCGTGTTATACCTCAGTGCATCATTTAGAACTGTTGACCATAATATTTTATTAAAGGATTTAAAGACACTGCACTGCAATGATATGTATCTAATATCCAATTTGTTCATGTAAATAAAGAGCCCTCTTCACACTACAGTTTATTACGCGTTCCACAGGGTTCCATGCTAGGACCAATTCTGTTTACATAATGGATGGCATTACCCTGACTTTCAGTAACACAGTAAGGAATCTTGGTATTTTTTTTTACCTTTCTGTCCTTCAATCTGCATATTAATCAAATATGCAGGATTGCTTTCTTGCAATGTCTCTAAAATTAGAAATATTCTGTTTTAGAGTGATACAGAAAAACTAGTTTATGCATTTATTACTTGTAGGCTGGACTATTGTAATGAATTATTATTAGGATGTTCTAAAAACTCCCTGGAAAAGCCTTCAGTTGATCTGAAACGCTGCAGCGAGAGTACTGACAGGGACTAGAAAGAGAGAGCAGATTTCTCCCACACTAGCTTCTTTTCATCAGCTCCCTGTACAATTTAGATTCAATTTTTGAGTCCTTCTCATCACATACAAGGTCTTGAATAATCAGGCCCCATCTTATCTTAAAGATGTCATAGTACTGTGTCACCCAGTGGAGCACTTTAGACTGCAGGCTTACTTGTTGTTCCTAAAGTAGAATGGGAGGCAGAGCCTTCAGCTTTCAGGCCCCTCTTCTGTGAAACCAACTCCCAGTTTGGATTCAACAGAAAAATGCCCTCTCAATTTTTAAGATTAAGCTTAATACCTTCATTTTTGATAAAAAAAAACTATATTTAGGGCTGGATCAGGTCACTCTCAATCCTCCCTTAGTTATGTTGCTGTAGGCCTAGGTTGCTGGGGCTTCCTGTGATGCACTGACTATTTCTTTTTCACCAACCTCTCTATGTGTTTTTGCCCCACTCTAGCTAATATTAATGTCTGGCTCTCTTCCTCTCATCACCTCCAACCTTTTGAAAGAGATGGCCCTTCCCCTCCCTGAGCCTGGTTCTGCTGGAGATTTTTCCTGTTAAAAGGGAGTTTTTCCTTCCCACTGTCACTGAGTGCTTGTTTAAAGGGGGTCTTATTTAAACAAATGTGTATTTGATATCATGTTGAGACTTGATCTTTGCTCAGATCTTAACTACTTAAACATGCATGACTTCTCTTTAAATGTCTCTGTTGTGTGGCATCTTTCACATTTCCCACAGAACAGGTGCTCTAAGTCTATGCAGCTCTGATCAGAGTTAGTTGTCTAAGGAGCTTGGAAAGAAAAGCGTCTGGACTTCTTTAAGTTGCTTAAAGACATTTCACCTCTCATGCGAGAAGCTTCTTCAGTTCTGTGATTTACACCCGTTTTCACACTCCCACAGGGCTTAAATCTGGGACTCTCCACCATTTGACCCTAGAACTGAAGAAGCTTCTCGGATGAGAGGTGAAACATCTTCACATCTTCGGTTTATAAACATCTTTGGTTTATGTCCGACAATATTTTAACGGACAGGCCTTTAAGGTGTTGCGTATAAATACAACAAAATAAAAACGGTACCGGTACCAAAAAAAAGAAGATGTATTCAAAACACACGGGAAAAGACCCAGGGAAACCGAGTTAACACTCAAAACTGATAAAAACTCTGAAAACATCAGAGTTAGTCCTTTGTATTGCAATTTGTGTCTGTGATTAATTGGTAAGGAAACATGTGACAAGAAAATAAAGGCTCTGTATCCATACCAAAGGTTCATGCATATTTTATTCAAGAGTAAAAAAGTGGATCGTCCCATGGGGCATGCTTACAGTGTTAGTGACCGGGGGAGTCAAAACAGAAAGCTGAGAGAAAAGAGAGAGAGATTGAACAAGAGACAGAGAAAGTCAGAACCGTGGCACAGTTTCTATGGCACAGGGTCTCCCAAGGGGGGTTCACCTCTCCCAGAGAAGCACAAGATCAACCAAGGAGCAACGCAACATGAAGAGCAACCAGCAGAGAAAGAGAGAGAGAGAGAGAGAGAGAGAGCTTAATATTAAGAATAATGTTTATAATAAATAGAATCATAATAATCATAGACTCATAAATATCATCAAATAACAAGAGGAATCATTATGATCAGAGAGAGAGTACACTTTTTTCCTTTAAGTTGTGACGGCAAC